AGATATGTGAAGGTGTTAACGTCTTCCGAAGAATCTCCATCAAGAGTGAATTGGTCGGTGCATGTTCTGTCGCATTGGAGAATTTTGCTTTTCCCTTTATGTATGTTGAGACCTACTACTGCAGAGGCTTCTGCTACACTGGTCGTCGTCTCTTGCATTTGTTGTTGCGTGTGCGATAGAAGAGCTAGGTCATCTGCGAAGTCCAGATCATCCAGCTTTGTTCTAGCTGTCCACTGAATACCACGCTTCCCTCCAGTTGCTGATGTCTTCATAATCCAGTCGATCACCAAGAGAAAAACAAAGGCTGAAAGTAAATTGTTTTAGTGAATCAATCAAAAATTTGCAAGCTGACAATTGTGCTAGATTCAACTGCTAAGGACACTACTCATCTTTACTTTTGTTTTCATTATAGGGTTGTGGAGACTACTTAGTTTTACTGAATTTATGAATTGGTTATTGTTAGGCCAAAATTAGAAACTTGGGAAGCACTCTAGACTGCCGTTTCATCCTATAGTATGAGATTCGTAAGTGGAAGTGAGTATCCACGACTCTCATCTACAGGAATCTAACCTAGAATCTACTGTCTCAAGTGCAAACTTTTAAACCCTCAACTAATGAGCCTTTATCCTGCGATTTGAATGTCTAACTTAAATCTGTCCGGGACATTAATCAACGAAGTTCAACCACGTTGGGTGTAGGCAGTTACCTACCGAAGACATTGAATGTGGTTTCGTAATACCTTGGACTGATTAGAGTTAAACGTTACCACCGCTGGATTCAACTCTAGAGGTTAGGTGTTCACGAGTGAGATTGAATGTGGTCATGATTGTGCGTTGATGATAAGTCCCATATGTGAACGAAATAGCTCATCTAGTGCGCCTAAGTTTCAAATAATGCGTTTAAATTATGCTCGATTCATGATTTTATTTAAAATATTAACTCATTTCATTTCTATCATCCTGGATAGAATTCAATGTCCAAATATTCTATTCTATATACTTAATAAATTTTAATTAATAAGATTTTTTCTCTCGATATGTTATCTAATCTGTTTATGTATAAATTTAATTAAATATAGTTTATAATTAATTAATTTACGAATTAATTTAAACAAAGTGTGTTTTGAAAAATTTTTAAAAAGAAAAAATGAATATGTTCAGGGATGTTAGATCCCAAAAACTTGCTTGATAAATGCCTTATTTTGGATTTCACGTTTGCCATAATGAGCTGATCAGTTGACCTTGAGATTTCATTTCACACTCGGGAAAATCCATGGCTGTGATTGGCTGCTGTGTATTTTAGTGTGGGGCCGGGA